TATATATAGCGAGGTATGGCTGTCACTATATATAGCGAGGTATGGCTGTCAGTATATATAGCGAGGTATGGCTGTCACTATATATAGCGAGGTATGGCTGTCAGTATATATAGCGAGGTATGACTATCAGTATATATAGCGAGGTATGGCTGTCACTATATATAGCGAGGTATGGCTGTCAGTATATTTAGCGAGGTATGGCTGTCAGTATATATAGCGAGGTATGACTGTCAGTATATATAGCGAGGTATGGCTGTCAGTATATATAGCGAGGTATGACTGTCAGTATATAAAGCGAGGTATGACTGTCAGTATATAGCGAGGTATGACTATCAATATATATAGCGTGTCGGGATCCCGCGGGCGGCTGCGAGGGGAGGCTGCACTCCGCTCGCGGTACTCACCCTCCAGCTGTCCGCGGTCCCCTCCTCCTCGTGGGCTCGGCGAGCGGCATCCTTCCAGCCTCGGATGCCGCCCGCCGTTTCCTCCACGTCCCCCAGCGGCAGCATACATGACGCTGCACGCTGGGAGACCGCCCAAGTTATACACGCCGGGGTCAGTCACCTGACCCGGCGTTAAAGGCACAGTGCCTCAATCACAGTGGGAGGTCTAGATATCTCCCACGTGTGATTGTTAATTCTGATTGGAAATTATCCAATCAGAATTAACCTGATGGTTTAAATACTTACCTTTCCTGTTCCTCCCTGCCCTGTTGTGGTCTTTGCTTGCTAGTATTGCGATTTACCTTGTGTTTCTGGTTACGTACTCTCTGGCTTGTTTATCTGACTCTGTGACTTTCTCCTACCCTTTGACCTCGGCTTGTTTCACGTTATTCTGTCTTCTGGTTCCCCTTACTCGGCTTGTTTCCTGACTATTCTGTGTGTGCTTAGCCCGGCCACTCTAAGGTCCGGTACGGCCCCTTTTCTGTGTGTGTGTGTGTGTGCCAGCATGTTGGGTTCCCCGAATCGTGACATAGCGAGGTATGGCTGTCAGTATATATAGCGAGGTATGACTGTCAGTATATATAGTAAGGTATGGCTGTCAGTATATAACAAGGTATGGCTGTCAGTATATACAGCGAGGTATGGCTGTCAGTATATAAAGCGAGGTATGACTGTCAGTATATAGCGAGGTATGACTGTTAGTATATATAGCGAGGTATGGCTGTCAATATATATAGCAAGGTATGGTTGTCAGCATATAGCGAGGTATGATTGTCAGTATATATAGCGAGGTATGGCTGTCAGTATATAGCGAGGTATGACTGTCAGTATATAGCAAGGTCAGTTTGCATACAATGGCAGAAATTGTGAAATTTTGACATTGATTCTGAAAATATGACTGATAAAAAAAATTATTTTATCGAAGGATAATGATCATATGAAGCCGTTCATAATCACATAGTTGTTTGGCTCCTTTTTAAATCAAAATGATAACAAAAATCACCCAAATGGCCCTGATCAAAAGTTTACATACCCTTTTATGTTTGGCCTTGTTACAGACACACAAGGTGACACAAACAGGTTAAAATGGCAATTAAAGGTCAATTTCCCACACCTGTGACTTTTTAAATTGCAATTAGTGTCTGTGTATAAATAGTCAATAAGTTTGTTAGCTCTCACGTGGATGCACTGAGCAGGCTAGATACTGAGCCATGAGAAACAGAAAAAAAAAAACATCAAAAGACCTGCATAACAAGGTAATGATATAAAAATATATCCAAAGCCTTGAAAATGCCAGTTAGCATTGTTCAATCACTTATTAAGAAGTGGAGAATTCTGGGATCTCTTGATACCAAGCCAAGGTCAGGTAGACCAAGGAAGATTTCATCCACAACTGCCAGAAGAATTAATTGGGATACAAATAAAAATCCACAGGTAACCTCAGGAGAAATACAGGTTGCTCTGGAAAAATATGGTGTGGTTGTTTTAAGGAGCACAATACGACGATACTTGAACAAAAATGAGCTGAATGGTCAAGTTACCACAAAGAAGCCTTTACTGCACCAATGCCACAAATAAGCCGGGTTACAATATGCGTGACAACACCCTGACACTCCTCACAGCTTCTGGCACATTGTAATTTGGAGTGACGAGACCAAAATAGAGCTTTATGGTCACAACCATAAGCGCCATGTTTGGAGAGGGGTTAACAAGGCCTATAGTGAAAAGAATACATCCGCTGTGAAGCATGGTGGGGGCTCATTAATGTTTTGGGTTGTGTGAGCTCTAAAGGCACGGGGAATCTTGTGAAAATTGGCAAGGTGAATGCAGCATTTTATCAGAAAATACCGGCAGACAATTTGCCTTCTTCTGCACGAAGGCTGCTCATGGGTCGCTCTTGGACTTTCCAACATGACAGTGACCCTAAACACACGGCCAAGTTGACCCTCCAGTGGTTACAGCAGAAACAGGTGAAGGTTCTGGAGAGGCCATCACAGTCTCCTGACCTTAACATCATTGAGCCACTCTGGGGAGATCTCAAACATGCGGTTCCTGCAAGACGACCAAAAGACTTTGCATGACCTGGAGGCATTTGCCAAGATAAATGGGCAGCTATTCCACCTACAAGAATTAGATTTCAAGAAGGATTTTTTTTTCCTAGTTTGTTGCAAATTTGGAAGTGCTTCAAACTGGGTTTTTTTGTTGTTTTTTTTTTTGCCTTCTTTTGGATCAACAGCAAAAAACAAATGTGAGGAAGGCTGAACTTGATGGACGCAAGTCTCTTTTCAGCTATGTAACTATGTAACTATGTAATAAGGGTATGCAGACTTTTAAGAAGGGGTCATTTCATTTTTTTTCTTTGTTGCCATGTTTTGTTTTATAACCTACAGTTGAATGTGAATCCCATAAGAAATGAAAGAAATGTGTTTTGCCTACTCACTCATGTTTTCTTTAAAAATGGTTCATATATTACCGATTCTCCAAGGGTATGCTAACTTTGTAGCAGAGCTGTAACTCCTAAATGGCAGAGAGTCTAGCAGTGAGACGGCAGGCGGCAGGGGGGTCATAATCTATACACCAAACTGTTTTATTAAGTCCGATTGTCTTGGTAACTGTAGTGTCCCTTTAATATAGGATACAAAAATGCTAAATGATCCTGGTTGTAAAGCCGACACTGAATGCATCTAGCTGAACAGTGAAAAGTTTGACTGGATTTGTCTTTAGTAAATATAAAGATTGACGACCCAAATGGAATTCAGTCATTTTCATCAAACTATGTCCATACAAAGAAAATGGTGTTTAGTATGACTCGATGCCTTCTTTGCTGGTGCAGTTGAACATGGTAAGTGAGGGCGTTTTGTTCACATTTTTGATCTTTCTGAGCAGGAACTGGACCACCAGTATTCCCCGAGTCACTGGTCTCACCGCTTGGACAAGGATGCCGTCATAGAGGCTCATGTGAGGAAAACTGTAGAAGGTGCGAACATTGACGCAGTGTGTTCTGATGGAGTGTTTTCTAAAACCAATGAAGGGCAGAAACCAGATGTTAATCTCGTGAGGTCAATCACCTGATCATAGACAGTACTCGCCACGGCCAGCCTAGCGAGTCCCTCACACACTCACCAATGGCTTGTGGCCAAGTGGACATTAGGAAAGGCTTGGTTTGCCCAGGAATACATTAATGCAGGGCTCTCCCTTGTTGAGGTGGCTTTGGGCATTTTATATTTGCTCAGCTTGTTATTAAAGGGGCTCTGTCATTGTTTGGGATTTCTGCATATTTTGCAAAGATCCCCCATGGTAACATCCCCACTTGCAGTATGGTGCCCCCGGGGGGTGCAGGGGACGTATGTTTTACTTACCTGAAGCTGTCCTTTGCGCCTGCTGCCATCTTCACCAGTGATTCCTCTTCAGCTCCTGGTGGGGATGAAGATTATATTGTTATAAAATACTGACTTGGCATGGGGGTGACAGAGCCGCTTTAAGAAAACAAATCTGGTCAGTTGGTCAAAAAAAATATTTCATGCCTCATTTTTAAATAAGTATTTCAAGTAAAGTTGAGATAGTATTGGTGCACACCCTAATGTTATGTGCTGTGCATGTCTATGGTGGACCTGATATCTTTGTCTTTTTATTTCTAAATATGGCCCTTTTTACATAGAGTCGGCCCTGTACCCTTTTATTTCAGTTACCAGATAGAGTGGACCAGTGATAGCCTCGTGCAGTCTTTACTCAGATCAAGAAGTGACAATGTTTGGTCAAGACATGTTGAGAAACTCAGACTTTATTTGGAAATGGCTGAATATTGGAAGGTTGTTGAATTCTGTGAAAGGGCCGTCGGGAGCGTAGAGTGAATGAGTGTGATCGCCGTCTATCAACAATCATAATTTATTGTATCAGTGATTCCTGTTGCCATATCAGGGCAAGGCTAATCCTGACTTTATTCTTTAAGGTACAATATTATCTCGTACACTGGCACAGACTGTCCTAAACATACCTTATGGAGAAAGCGAGAGTCAAAAACTCGATTTGTACCTACCTAAGGAGACACCACTGGGTAAGTGACACCAACCACTCACAAAAGGGAATAAGAAGCTGCCAAGATCAAACATGGTGCTCACCTACACATCCCACTGTTGGAGAACTACATCTAGACTGACAAAGCATCTAGGGCAGGGGTAGGCAACCTTTTAGTAGTACTGTGCTAAAATAATGGAAGTCCCTTGGTGTGCCGGTTCTATTTTTTTTTAATTGAGGTATGTATGTTGCCTAATTGTGCTTGTGTTATTTATGAGAGCTGTATGTAGTTGCTTTGTAATGTTCTATTTGTGCGTATCTGGGCTATTATATCGTATATATTTATAAATAGTTTGTGGCAT